CCTCTAAGAAAGGAAAGCAACCTCTGCTTTCTCTGCTTTATAGAGGGTCGTTTAGGAGGTTTTGCTGCAGTAGCATTTGCGTGGAACTCTGCTAATTTCATCATCTACAGTGTGAAGGAATATGCCATTCAAACTTTTTGTAACTGATGGGAGAAATTTAAAAGAAGGAGATCATATTCCTAAAGAGGAAATAAGAAAATTTCTACAAACCCATTCTTCTAGCGGCAGCTTGGAGCTTTTAACTTTAACACTAGTTCTCCAATTTTTTGCTTTTGAACCAGTATGCCTTTCCCATTCACTAAGTGCTTTCCTTTCAGGTCCACAAGATCCACACTTACATACGACTCTGTAAATAAACCAAACGGAGTAAGAATACTCTATAAATCATTCAACATAGATAGCTAAAACTCTGGATTAGGTAGAGATTAAAAGGTGGTTGCTTTGCCCAGTTCTAGAGTGATTACGAGGCAAGAAAAGTGAAAACAATGTGAAATAGAGATCACATGGTGACGACTTACAAATGAAGGCTTGGAAAATATATGCCTTCTACTCCAGAGCATACAACAATAACTTTATCAGGAAGCACCATTGGGGCATTGTTTTTACCAAGTCTATACCAGAAAAATCTCAAATTGAATATGGTTTTCACAATTCAATTGTTAGTAAGAATAAACAATAACAGTTGGAGGAAAGAAAATCTACTTGGATTTTGAGTCTTGTTTTTCTGAATCTGATAACTCAAAGTTAAATTTTGTTCTGCATGTGGGACAATAGTAATCTGTTTCCCCCAAATCCTTCAGATAACAAATGAAATTGATCTCAATACATGAAAGTAAGTGCGAATGATAACCTTGAAAAAGAGCAACATGAACATGTACCTTAAAATGCTTATGTGATATTTGATCACACGCTGAGTGAATCCAGACTTTACACCCATCACAACGCACCTTATTCACAATATGTAATTAAACGGTAAAATTGCAAGAACACATTAGCTGATTCTACCCTACAAATATAACATAAATTGTATGCTTTTTACCCAGCTCTGACTATCCAAATGATTCCATATCTTCTTGCATATCCCACAAACCTGTTTCGGTTTTGTCAGCTGCAATGATAAAATTAGTTGAGTTAATCGAATTGAAACTGAACAAGAAGGAGCATAGCAAAACCTTTACATACCCTTGAACAAAGTTTACACAATAATTGATCTCCGGGAATCAGAGCTTTCATTTTCTGTGCCATCTTTAAAGAAAGAATCATTCCACATCCTACACAGGCTCTTGGATTTCTGTATTTCTTCATGTCCTGCAAATATATAAACTTAATTTCTATAACCATCAAGGAATAATAAACTCTACATGCTCAAAAAGGAAACCCCAAGCAAAGAGAAAGTTGCCTGGTTTGGAGCAACGTGATCAAGATATTGGCTCGAGCCTGCAGCTTCTTCAATCCATCTGTAGACAGAATCATCAAAACTCTGGTTACCTGCGGCCAAGTGAATATCCTGCATCAGCTTTTCTGTGAACCCTTGGTCTGCCAAAAGAGCTTCTTCAAGTGCCATCTGAAATTCCCTAGGGTTGCATCCACGCAGTTCAGACTGTTCTTGAAACCTAAATAACAACAAACTATTAAGCAAAATATCCACATATAAATCAAAAACAATTATTTCGTAAGATTCTAGCATCAACTCACCTGTCTACATAATCCACAAATGGGAAAATCATCCCTCTTCTAACCCATGCATAATCCTGCTTACATAATCAAGTTAGCCAACCAAACAGCTTTTAGAATCACACAAGAAGACAACATTATACACACATACCCTTTCGTTCTCTGTCCCAGAGTGACCAAAGAACATAACACAGGCTGCATCAGGTATACAAGAACGCAAAACAAGCTCGGGCGCTTGCGTCATTGGATCAATAACAATAGCCGGCCAAAACGGCTCTTTCCTCCCAGATTTACCCCAAACCAAATCACCCGAATAAAAATCCTCGGGCCCATAAACACCCTCTTTCTTAGGACGAGGCTCATCATCTACATAACGCTGCTCCTGAAGAGAAGCAAGTGAAGTCCGTGAACTCATCATATGCTTCTTCATCTCATAGCTATTTCCATATCTACCAATCTCTTCACATTTATCCTCATCATCTCTCTCTTCACACAATGCACTACTACTATACTTATAGTTCCTAGGAGTAAATTTAGCTTTGACTTTCTCCTTCCTGCATGCTTCTTCTTCAATCTCTCCCTCGCGTTCTTCGCCACTACTTTTACTATCTTTCCTCCAATTCTCAATAACCGAGTCATTAAACCGTGAAGGAAGCACCTGAACTCTTCCTCTAGATGTCCTCACAAGCGGTGGCCGTGAAACCTCACCCATCCTATCTCTCCCACGTTGGCTAGTATCAGCAACTAATCTCTTTGACTTTATCTCCTCCTCCACCTCCACCACCTCAACTTCCTTACACAAAGAAACAGAGAATCCATTCTTACCCGGAACTATCCCAACACCAATCTCATCAAGAAGATTAAGAGGATAATAGTAATCACCACCACCATTGAAGTTGACCTTTCTCTTCTTCTTAGCTCTATCATCTTCTTCATTAGTCGAGTTACATCGTTTCAAACTCGACATTCGAGTTTTCAATTTCCGTTTGATTATCATATCTTCTGATTCGAATTACCAATCACTGCATCACAGATGTTTCACTGATTTTCATCAACCCAACTATAAAAAACAAACCTTTTTTTTCAATTCCACAAACCCTAATCTTTCCCCAATTCTCGAAAAAGCTCAAGTCTTTCAACGAACATAAACCAGATAATCCTCTGTTGGGTTTGACCCACTATCGAAGTCACAGAATTGCAGAAGAAATTTTGTTTCTTTTGAAAAAATTTACCCAAAAACAGGAAAGAACAGAGATAGAGAGAAAGAGATCTGTTTCGGAAAAATCCTAACTTTATTTTTTTCTTGCTCTCTGTCTTTCTTTAAATTATAAGAAACCCAGAATAAAAACAAAATGCGTACTTTGTTTTTGATTTGGATAAGGAAAAAACAGAATGCTGAATTTTGTTTAATCCAAAGACGAAAACTTTTTTTTTTTTGGTTGCTTCGGTGAGTGAAATTTTAGAGAGAGAGAGCGTGACAGAGAGTATTAAGAGAGAGAGAAGACGACGACGAGAAGAGAGAGAGAAGAGAAATAAAAAAAATTAAAAAAGATTGGTTTGGTTATCGGACGTGTGCACATTACCGGAGAATGATGTGAATTGGCTAACTTGCGCCAATGTTTTTCTTCTTCTTCTTCGTTTCTTGTCTTCTGGTTTAACGTTTTTAGACCAATTCTCTCCTTCATGTTTTTTGTTTCTTTCATTTTCAAAATCGAACTTTGTTTCTGTTTTTTAAAGCTAATAATAAGCTCCAAGAACCATGGAACTTGGGACTGGAAGTTACATGGTACGATTACGACACTGTGCACGCGAGCTCTTTTGTGTGTTGTTTGGTCATTCATAACTCTTTATTTATTTATTTCATTCACTTGCTTTTAAAGGTTACTTCTCGTTTTCTTAATAAAATTGTGAAAAGAAGTCGACTTTTTTGGTAGGTACAGATTTATTTTTGTTTTTCGTTGGAAATCCATGACTTGAGTAAAAGAAATTCTGGGATTGTTAATATATATTGAATACTTAGAGGTTGAGAAAAGAAAAAAAAATTACAATAAAATCGATAAAATATAGTATATAAGAGTAGTTTGAAAACACCAAAAGAATGCCTTTTTTTTTTGAATGGGGAAATTGATGTGTCAATGTGTTCACTGCATTTTTATGTATAGCGTAAAAGCACTTAAAACAGTTACACCAATAATATTGCTAAAAGTAGTTATTGAGCAAGAAACATGTGCAACTTTTTAATAAAAACAAGAAGGAGACCAAATGAGTAAGTAACTTGTCCCGGTTTCTCTGCGATGATCAACAGGGTTAGATCCGATTTGATTTTTCCGGCGAGTTTCCGATTTACCATTTTTGTTACTGGATTTCATGAGTAGAGAAGTTTGAGAAAAGGAACATTTTCTATTACATTATTGTCCAAGGCATCATAGAATTGATCTTCCACATACATTACATGAAAGCTGAAACTCTCGCCTCTTTTGTAAAATTTGACATCAATCATTGAAAACTCATTATCTCAGGAAACATCAAGGTTGTTCGCGGTATCATTTAGTTATCTTTCGACTCGGAGTCGAATGTTATCATTGGTCCATACATTCGAGCTGAGGGGATCCTAAGAAGAATTCATAATGCATAGGAGACCGAGCTGGTTTCTCTAAGGATGAATGTCGAAAAACGGGTTTGATCATAAGCTAGGGAAGCAGTGCCGGCTCAACATTTTTATGGGTCCTAGGGCAAAAAAAAATTTTGAACTCTTAGAAATTTTTTTTTAATGTTTTTTGCTGTAAAAAAATTTTCTATGCTATTTTTGTTAAAAATATTAATTACTAATACTAAAAACAATAAATAAAAAATTTTATAGACCTTTCTAAATTTTATTTTTATGTTATAATCTAATTTTTTAATATTTTTTAAAAAATATTTTAGAAAATGGATCCCTAAATTATTGGACTACGGGATTGGACTCCTGGCCGTCGCACCGCCCGCCCACCCATCTGAGCCGGCACCGTAGGGAAGCACCATTTTTTATTTGGTGAATGTATTGCTTCGTTCCACATGACGTCCTATGGTTGGCCACATAGCAAATCATAGAAACAAAAATCATTATGGACAAACCAGCAATTACATGACATGATGTTTCAGCATCCAAATACTTTTATTGATTGCTAGCGTTTTAACATTGAGAACTATAGTGTCAAAAAGATGAAAAAGGTAAAATGAAAATGCAATATGTGAAATCTGTTACAAAGACTGAAATCTAACTTGTTGCAGTGCTTACAAGCAAAGAAACATCAAACACCTTTTTTTTTATATCACATGATCTAGTATTTATAAATATATATGTAGAATTATAGAATATATCTACATCTCTCACCACCGGTACACTACAATAATACAAACATTTTTTAGCTACAATTTCTTTTCTTAAAAGCTTATTTAGAGAAACCCTTTATATACAAAAACTAATTGGATGCTTATAAGATTTTAAAGTTTTATACATAGATTATAAAACAAAACTAGTTTCCAATGAGATGGGGCTTTATATCCTTATTCTTCTTCTAGTTTCTTCCTTTTGCTTAGTCTCCTCCTTTTGAGCTCTTTTTTTGAACCATTCTATTTCCTCTCCTCTGTTTTCGCAAACCTTCCTCGGACTCTAGGTTGGCTATCTGCAAGAGCTTTCCTGCAAGCATACTGAAACCAAACCAAACAACATTTAGATGATCTTCAAGTGCTTGTTTTTGAGCTAAAATGACTTCAAGTGTTTTGTTTGTATACCTTAATTTTACGCCCGAAATTTCGTCTGCTCTTCTTGTTCTTGTATCGAGAAAGCTTCTCACGGCGATCCTCTGAAGTACAGCTCACAATAATCCTATCCATGAAGATGGACAAGACCTGTCCTTAGTTTCTGCTATCCAAAAACAAAAAAAAGAGATACTCAAATCCACAATTTATATTCATCTCAAGAGTCTAAAAAGGATACAACTTACTCAAATTCTAGATGATACAGAATCGCGCAAAACTTTCATTTCAGATCAATGTTTTATGTTTTTTAATGTCAAACCTGTATGTCGCCTTCACTAAAGGCTCTTCGCATCCCATAACCAAAATCGAAATCAGGGAAATTCTGAATCATTACAGTCTCTTGCTGTGCATGTGACCAATCCATAGAGCTCAAATTCCCCGAGCTAACGCTCTTCTGCATATCTTGGTTCTCATTGATTGTCGTCACAACAGAGATGTTCTTGATGTCTAAAACATCAGAGAATGGAGACTCCATAGCTGATTTCATCATAAGATCTTGCTCACACTCATAAAAAGCTTTGTCAAGAAGCTGTTGACCACTCTGCAATGAACCAAGATCAGGAAGCTCACAAAGACCTTGCGAAGTGTCTTCACCACAAGAGATCATAGTCAAAGCAGCAGAGAGTGGATCAACAGGTAAGATTTGTTCTTCAAGAATTGGATCAGGAGCTTTAAAAAGATCACCTTCTTCTCCAATATGATACTCAGATATGTTTGATGACTCAACAAAAGTGTTGTTCTGCAAAAAAGGACAATCAAAAGTAACATCGAATCAATAAGACCACACAAGACAGAACATAGTTCGAGACATTCAGACAGTGAAACACAAATCTTTTTTGTTGAGTGGATTCGTTCAAAAAAGGGTAAGAGAAAAAAGAATCTTTTTTCTTTCTTCAGTGGAGGATTGATTTTGAGAAGAAAGAGCCAATTAAAACAACACAAAACCAATTCTCTAGTTTTAAGAAGTAATTTAAATCAGAACAAAACAAGTCTTGAAGAGCACGGAACCTCATGTTACAGAATTCATGGAATCTCATGTGAAATAAAGAGTAATTCCCATTATCAAAAATCAAAACCCACAAACAAAAAAAGAGACTTTCTTTAGTTTCCCTAGAAAACTCCCTTTTTTCAATGGAAAAGAAAAATCTGGCTTTTTTGCAGCAGTAAAAAAAGATTCCATTTTTATTCCTTTTAAACAAACCTAATTTTTTCTTACTCAACTTTCTCAGCAGCCAAAAACACATTTTGGTAAGGTCAGCGAAACCAAAATATCTCATCAAGTGGCTACAAAATTTACACCAGAAAAACAAATAAGCCACTTAACACTTAGCACCACAAAACTTTTAGGAAAATTTACTTCACTAGTAGACAAATTACTTCACAAGGAAAAAAGAAACAAAAAAACTATCAGAATCTTTAACCAAAAACTAGAAAGTGAGTTTTAAAGTAAGTAAAAAAAAAAACCTATCTAAAGTAAAGAAGAAGAAGAAAGATCTGTAATCAAATGCAGTGAATAGAAAAAAAAAACAGAATTGAAAGCAAAATCAGACCATTTCATCGGAGAGTTTGTATGATTTGAAGAGGTCTTCGAATTGTTGAATATCTGGGGAACAGTTTTGCATGTAACGGAGCATTAATCCAGAATCTTGATACATTTTGAGTTCTTGGTCTTTCTGAGAGAAATTCTTGGAAGTAGGAAACGAGTTTTTAGAGAAGAAGAGAACATAAAGAAAGCCAAAAAGAAAAACAGAGGCCAAGTTGTGAATTTGAGAGGAAAACCCTGAGGGAAAAAGTTTGGTACTTAGCTCTCCTCTTGCCTTTTTATGAAAGAGAGAGAGCTCTTTAACAATTTTTTTTTTGTTTTGGGGGTACTGTGGACACGATAGAGTAAAAAGCCCATAAGGCCATTACTATTATTTAATAAAAAAAAGTTTATTTATTTATTTATTTCAACATATAAAAATAGAGATGGTATAAAAAAAAGATATAAAGGAAAAAAAAAAGAGAAATTGTTAAAAATGCCCTTTTTCAATACCCTTTTCAAAAATGCCCCTTTTTAGAGTTCATTTTTAAGTTTGCCTTCTTTTAATTTTTAATGACCATTTTACTCTTATTTGAAACAAAATTAGGTCCACAAAATACAAAATATTTTTGGCGAGAAAAGTGATCCCGCAATTTTCCCGCCAAAACACTTGTAAAAACCTTTAAAATACCTTGTAAAATTTTCCCGTAAAAATTTTTCTCGCCAAAAAATTTTTTTTGCGGGAAAAGTGATTCCGCAATTTTTTTGGCAAAATTTTTTTGGCGGGAAAATTTTTGGCGGAAAAAATTTACAAGGTATTTTAAAGGTTTTACGGAGTATTTACAAGTGTTTTGTAAGGTTTTACAATGTATTTTAAAAGGTTTTACAAGGTACTTATAAGGTTTTATAAGGAATTTATAACTTGTAAAACCTTATAAAAAATTTGTAAAACCTTATAACTTGTAAAATCTTATAATATCTTATAAATACCTTATAAATACGTTGTAAAACTTTTTAAAATACATTGTAAAACCTTATAAATACCCGTAAAAAACCTTAAATTTCCTTGTAAATTTTTCCCGCCAAAAATTTTTACCGCCAAAAATTTACCGCCAAAAAAATTGCGGAATCACTTTTCCCGCAAAAAAAATTTTTGGCGGGAAAATTTTTTGGCGGGAAAAAATTTTACGGGAAAATTTTACAAGGTATTTTAAAGGTTTTATAAGTTTTTACAAGTGTTTTGGCGGGAAAAATTACGGGATCACTTTTTCCGCCAAAAAATATTTTGTATTTTATGGACCTAATTTTGTTATATTTCTTTATATATTTGTGATATCTTTTATTAAAAGAAGGGTAATTTAGTTATTTTGTACATAAAAGGGGTATTTTTAAAAATGGACAGCCAAATGGAGCATTTTTGAAAAGGGGTATTGAAAAAGAGGCATTTTGTGAGTCTCCCAAAAAAAATGTTCACCTACACATATGAATTGCCTTTTGTTGTGTATTCAATAATTTAGTTTATTTTTTATTTTTATTTTTATATATAAGTTGCACCGACTAGAACTTTAGCATAATAGTTGGTTGTGTTAATGTCGTATATATTTCAAATTTGCGTATTGTATGTTTGGGGGAAAAATAGATCTGAACATTTGAACATTTTAATTTTGCGTAAATTAGTTAAAATATCAGTGAACTTACAAAATTCATAATTTTTCCTATAAATGATTAATTTTTTCCTCATATTTTAATATATATAAATGGCTAAAAGTGGTAAAAATATATTAAAGATAAGAATACGAACAAAAAAATCCAATTAATCTCTGATTGATTTACTAGGAGGAGTTAGACCATGTTTGAATGCCAGATTTACTGCCTAACTAATTTTAGAAATTTGAACATTAGTTGTGGTTGACAAAAAAAAAAAAAAAAACATTAGTTGTATTTTCATATTTTCATCAAGAATAATAGTTTTGGTATTGTATTTGTATTGCTTCCAACTATTAATGTTCTGTCCTCATCTAAAATAGGAATCACTTTTTAATATGAAATTTGCAAGGTGTTTCTATCAACTAATGGTTATTCACAAGGGATTAAGAACCAAAATGAAGACAGTTGAAATTTTATCAAAGTTTTGATATTTTGATCTGATTTGAATTTTGATTTATTTATTTTTTATAAGGAATAAAAGTTATATATGGACAATATGTAAGCATGCAATTAGAACAGGTGCATGAGCATGACGACTTGCAAGGAAAATCCATTAAAGTGTCTTGTTTATATTTATAATTTTTTTATCACATGTCTTTTTATATATTCCATTGTTTCAATCATATGGTTTCTTTTCTTTTTAGCAAAAACACTGTTACAACTGTATAATATTCTTTGATGAAAAAAAAAAAAAAAAAACTGTACAATATACTCTCACACACGCTTACGTATTTACTTGCCAACAGCATAAACTTTTGAAGTTTAAAAATTTTATTGAAAGAAAATGACTGTAGTGAACAAAATAGGGTTTTGAAATTGACAAAAATAAATTAAAAATGAAATAAAAAATCATGCCTTAAATTACGATTTTCAGAATCGACAAAAAATTAAAAAAAATTATAGATGACATGCCATCTGTAATTAATATATAGCTACAAATATTATCTCCTTAAGTCCATTATTTCCAATAAATATAAATTTAATACCAAAGTTTGGCGTTAGATATTCTTACAATTACATCATTTCAAGAATCTAATTCAATCTAGATACAATACAAATAGTGATAAAAAGACAAAAGAATGATAATAAACCATATGAGATTGGGATGGATAAGAACTGCCAAGTTGAAATTAACATTAAACAAGAGACTGATGTTGATTAGGTTAGATTTTTGTCAATCTTTGTTTTGCTTTTATTTTGGGATTATTAAGACTTTAAAAAGTGTTTCCTTTCATAAACTAAGCAATAAGAGAGGATTATATATTATTAAAAGAGTTAATCCCTTAATTAATGTATTATGGTAGTACGGCTGCAACTTGTAGTAGCTGACTATTTACACAAATATACGAAGCACATGTTCGTGTGGCTCCTACATGGCTCTGTTCCTCTCCCACTTCCCCATTTTACTCTTTTTTTTTTTTTTCTCCACCCCATTTTACTCTTCCACTCTCAAATAAACAATAAAATATTGTAGCAAAAACAAAATAATACAAATTTATTGGTCATTTTTTTAAACGTGTGAAATAATTTAAAAAATCGTTGTTGCATATTTGATCACTTAACATCAATTTGTATGGATTACCTAAGTCTGCAAAAGTTTAGGTTTTGTCTCCTTTTATTAAGTTTCTTTTGTTTGGATCTTTCGTCCTCCTGTTCTTTTTAATTTCTTGTTGTAATAGTTTTGTATTTGATTCTTTGTAAACTTTCTGTTTTATATAAGAAAACCCTTTAACAAAAAAAAAAAATAACATCAATTTGTATGAAGGGTATGGTATGTACTTCACACAATTACGTTTTCAAAACGTGAATATATCATTCAAACCTGTTAGATGTAACAATTATGTGATCGGCTATAGATTCCGACGGATAATATTTAAAACCATGTGAAGATAAGAAGTCCATTTTTTTTACTAAACTTCCATTTTATAACCAATTGAAAGTGAGTTAATTCACTATATTAAATTCTTTACGCTTTTTGAAATAAAGTTCTTAATAAATTTAACTGAAAATTACCTAGTTTGACTCAAATTTAGAGAAAAATAACTAGATTAACACCCAAATATTGTGGTTTACTAGAATAACACAAATTTTGTGTTAAAAGACCAAATACTCATTTTATTTCCAGTTCTATTCAAATAAAATAATTAAATTAAACAGAAAATTAAAAAATACAAAAAAAAAATTATAAAACCAAAAAACGAAAATTGAAAAAAAAAAACAAAAAATACAAATGAAAATATATATAAATTGAAAAAAATAAAATAAAAAAATAAAAAATAAAAAACTAAAAAGATATAAAACCAAAAAACGAAAATTGAAAAAAAAAACAAAAAATACAAATGAAAAATATATATAAATTGAAAAAAATAAAAAATAAAAAACAAAAAGAAAACAACTACCCATTTTATTTTCAATTCAATTAAAATAAAATAATTAACATATAATAACTAAATTAAATAAAAAAATTAGAAAAAAAATTACAAAGCGACAAAAAAAATAAAATGAAAAAAAATACATAACAAAAAAAATAAAACAAAAAAAATCCCACAAAAAATTAAAAAGAAAAAATATATAAAAACGGAGGAAAAATTGTCTTTATCATATATTATCAAGGGTAGTAGCCACACGGGCCACCTTATTATAAATAAGTC